AGCTGAATTCGAAACCTTGGAGAGTGAATATCACTCCAAAATTTCAATCTCCTAGTTCTCTAGCTCGCGAGCAATTTTTGTGTCGAAATTTTCAAGTGGCCGCACTTGAGTTGTCATCATACTTGCGAGCTAAATTTGAGCTTTTTTGGCTATGCATAGGTAGAAAATATTTTCCTAGGTTTTCAGCGTCACAGCTCTTCTCGCCCCCGAGACAATAATTTTCTCGCCGGAATTTCCACAGGGTCACACGTGGTCCCAAGTAAAAAAGAAGGATGGAATTTAAACTTCCCGTATCGCATGTGGGTAGCAGGCATTACCCCGAAATTTCAGCATCCCAACATCTGTGCTTCCAGAGATAATAATTTTCCCCATCAAAATTTTTACGGAGTCGTATGTGGTACCCAGCTGCAGGGAAGGATGAAATTAAATTTGCGAGATCACACGTATACGGGGAAAATTCAAAAATTTCAGCTTTCTAGTTTTCGAAGTTCCTGAGTTGAAAGTGTCACGTATCTGTGACAGTGTGTGTATTGTATATGTGTTCGAGCGTGTTTTATCCCACAGTATGCGTTGTGTGCGGCTGTTACACGGCGCAAAAAGCATAAAAACTAACCAACGGCGGTCAGTCGCAGAGGTAGCTGTCTGTAGAATGGGCGGCGATGAGCACTGCCCCATGAACTGTACCAAATGAATGAAGCAGCGAAAAGGAATGCGCCCGCACCAACGTAACGACAAGGCTGACAATCCTGCCTGGCAAAGTGCGAGGTTGTGGACACCTTTTCCAGCTGCTGCCTTCGCTGCTCACTCATTTCGCTTCTCCAAACCCATAAATGACACTCCCTGAAACCAGTTATCCGGATCTGAAAAAAGCAAGGGCGAATTGCGTCAATACAGCATCACCTCGGAAATGAGCGGTGCTTGTCCTGAAAAAGGTGACATTGACATGTGCAGGCTTGCAGCCGGCAAATATGATTCTTGAGAGATATAGGTGCTGATTTTGTGTAGCTCACTTGGCTTGGCCCAT